TGTGACAGTGGGTTGTGAAAATATTAGTCATATCACATATTTGAATCTTGTGGCATCAGCCCAGAGTGCTTTTCTGACTGCTCATTTTTCAATTTCAAAGTGTAAAGTCCGTTCTCATTGAAATGTTTCCATTTTACTCAGCTCTAAACATTATGTGCACTTCAAGGTCTGGTGAACTAGGTAAAGTTCTATAGTCAGTGTCATTGATAAAACTGTAGACGTATTTTACCGCTAAAAAAATCCTAAGACATTAGCCAATTAGAGGGTTACGTAAAACAACTTCCTTAAGATATACATGACTATTCAAAGTGCACTGGGCTCTGATATATTAAAGGACAGAGAGAAGAAAGTAAGTCTTCTCTTAAATACTTAGGTGTATGTGTTTTATTCAATCAATTGCCCAGATAAGGTAAATTCTTAAAGTTTTTATATGTGGATGTCATCAAACGGGAGAAATTTGCCAGTCCAATTAATGAAGGATTTTTCCTTCACCTATTTGTGAAAAGCTGGCAAGGTTTAAAGAAATGATTCACATTTATATATGGCCAAACCACAGGTTGTAACAGAAAAAGGAATTGGGAGGAGGGGGGGGGGCGATGGAATTGAATTGAATACTTTCAATTCTTTTGAATACTTTATTTGGCCAAGTGTGATTAGACACATAAGGAATTTATCTCCGATATGGAAGCTCTCAGTGTACATGTCAGGGTTCCAAATAGTATCTTCTATGAAATAATAGTTTGAGGCAAGAAGTTCCTCAAAACACCAATTTATTAGAAGATGTTGGCACATCTGGGAAAACCAAAATCAGAAAGCTTCCAGGGTTTCCCCAAACAGTTGAAAGTTCAAAACGTTGCCCCAACACCCACAAGTACATAAAATGGTTCAATCAGTCACTGCTGTGGATGAAGATTCCTCCCATTCACATCCATCCATGTGCAGGAATGAGGTGACCTTGACTATCTGAGAAGAAATGTTATTATGGCTACATATCTCCCAAGCTCCATGCCATCCTCCCTCCCAGTTTCCCATAGAAAGTATGTTTGAATATGTAGCAGGCTTGAGGCCCTATCCCCCGATGGCTTCCAAACCTGACAATACATGCAAAGCAATAGTAATAATAATACCAATAAAAGGGGAAGTAAAGAATTTAATAAGAAAGATAAATAATACTACAGCCACACTATATGAGTAAGTATACTGTACATGTTCATTAGGGACCACTGTGAGAACTGGGTGTTCAACAGAGTGATGGCATGAGGGAAAAACTGTCCTTGTGGCTAGTTGTGTTAATATATAATGCCCTATATAGCATCGTCCCAAGGGAAGACGTTGAAACAGCTTATGTCCAGGAAATGAGAAGGTCTGTATTGTAGGTATCTTCTCAGCCCTTCTTTGACCCGCAATTCAATTCAATGTACAGATCTTCTAGGGAAGGCAGGCTGGTTGCAATTGTTCTTTCTGCAGTTTTAACTGTCTGTTGGAATTCGTACTTGTCCTGTTTGATTGCTATACCAAACCAGACGGCTATAGAAGTACAAATCACAGACTCAATAATTCCTCTGTAAAACTGTATTAACAGTTCCTGGACCAATCTCAACTTTCTGAGCTGCCACAGAAAAAACATTCATTGTTGTGCCTTTTTATTGATGGCTCTAAACGTCCATTTCAAGAGATTATAGAACCCAAAAACTTGAAGGATTCTAATTCTAATATAATATTTTTTGAATCTCTTTCTGGTCACATTGATTTTTTAAAAAAACATTTCCCAATACAAAAGAGGCTTTTTAGATAAGCCTAGCCTATAGCATTTGGAGCATAAACACATTCAATATAATTAATTATAAAGTCATTATTTTTTAATTCAAATTGACATGGTTTATTTAAATCTCCCTGATTATTTCTTATAAATACAAATTATAATTTAAAGTACCCGATGTATAATTCTTTGCTATGAATCAATCCATTTTTAAAGTTTTGTGGCCTTTTCTTTGCAACATAACTTTTATATTATATGCAAAACTGTAATATTTATATTGCACTGTTTTTAAAAAACAAACTAAGAGAGGGTGTAGGAGTAGGAAGATATATTATCTTTTATTCCTATCAGCAATAATAAGGTGCTGATAAATAAGGTGATTTTAAAGAACATGTTCTACTTACTCATTTTAGCCTGAAAGGCAACATACTGGAATGAGGATGTGTAGGCAACAGCAATACATTTTATTAAGTCATCAGGAATTTACAGATAGCCACATGACATCCCCCTCCCACTTGACATACGAAAAACTTGCGAATCTAGTTTCATTTACTATAATCTACGACCACGTGAGTTAAAAAGCACACCTGTATTAAAAAAAGAATAAAAAACTAAAAAATACCACTAACCCCCACACACTCAGAAAATCAAAATGATGTGTAATCATTTGCTAACTGGCAACTTTCATCTCATCTATTTTGCCACCGTAGCTTCTACACCCTTCCTATTTTTGCAGTCAAACTACAACCACTTCTGGATTATTGGTTTGCAAGTCAGCTACTCCTCTGCTTATCAACTGAGCCCCTGCAAAGCACACCATGTGCTGCAATTGAGACTGGCTTTTTGCACAGCTACTATGAGCCAGGATAGAAATGGTTTAGTCTCTGAATTTAGCTATAAGCAGTGGCACCACAGAAGAGAGAGGAAATGTGAACACACTTTTCCTTGTGAAATAACAATTCTAGATAGTCAATGTATTTCCATCAGCATTTAGGCTGATTCCACTTAGAAACCAAAAGGAAGCATGTTAGAAATACCTACAAAGCACACTGCCCTATCTCCCAGGGAAGTAGAGGACAAATTTCCTGGATAGTTAGAACAATGAATCAGTGGAACGACTTGCCTCCAGAAGTTGTGAATGCTCCAATATTGGAAATGTTTAAGATATTTGACAATTATTTGTCTGAAATTGTATAGAGTTTCCTGCCTGAGCAGGGGCTTGAACTGGAAGACCTCCAAGGTATCTTCCAACTCTGTTATTCTTTCTGTTCTGAAGGTAGAAGCTAGTTAGGTATCTCTATTTGGGTGATATGCAGAATATCAATAAGAGTTTCTGACTGAAGAACAACAGTTTTGGGTTTTTTTTGAAAAAAAAACTTTTCCATTCCTAAACCAGACTAACAAGAAAAAATAGTTTGGAGAAAATTAGGAGCAGATTTTATTTGGAAGTGTTCGCCCATTTGTAACTAATGCCAATTACAAATCCTAAATAACTGTATTCAAAGGCACTTGAGCCCTTAACTGTTCATAAAAATGACTCAACAAGGATGTAGATTCAAGTTCTGTAATTCAGGCCCATCACTTCTCAGAAAAGCACTTCATATAAAATACTTTTCCTCCAGAGTTATTTTATACATGAAAGTTAGCTTTCATTTATAAAAACAATATGGATAAACTTTTCAGGATGCATGGAGGTTTTCCTCTATTTAAGTGGCATTCATGGAGGAAATTACCTTGCAATAACGAATCCCAGAAATTCTTGCTCAGAACAAGAATGTAAAGTAGCAAAAGGTGTAGTTCTGTAACCATAGAATTAATCAGCTGCCTTTTTGAAGCCACAGGTTCTTAATTGCAGGAGATATTGAAGAGGGGTACTATAACACCAAGCCTTGTTTAAGGAACTGAAAATTATAATGCTATCCATTAGTGAAGAGAGAACCCGGTTAAGAACTCTTCAGGCTAAAGCATCTGCTAAATGATGTACAGAAATGAAATGCTGGAAGCAGGTCTCCATCCTATATCCCAAACTTCTTTGATGAATGAGGGTAAGTAGGGGAAACACAAATATTTAGACCCAAATGTCCTTTTTCAAAGGGCAACTGGACTTTGTTTTTCCTCATATGTTTTATTTCTCATTCAAGAAACTTTTTCATTTCTGACACTTCTTGGCTTCTTGGATGAGAAGTGAAACATCTTCAAGGAAAAACAAAGTCCAGTTGCCTTTTGAAAAAGCATCTTCCAGGTCATGGTTTGACAACCATGACCTGGAAGACTGAGAATCTCCACAGAAACACACATTTAGACAATTAATTGCAAACTGGATATATAAATATGTGCACTTAATCATATTTCTGATAAAGATTTAGACTTTACAGTAGAGAAGATGATCACAAATCTTGATGCTACACCTGGTTCTCCAGCCAAACTACATACAATATTTTCAGTTTCAGCATCTTACTCAAAGTCAAGGTGTCAAATACAAACTAAAAATACAGTTCTGTAAAGGTTTTTATTTAGCCAACCACCTCTCGGAATTTCAAGACAAAGATAAAATTAGCTATGTGAACTACTGTATAAAAGATTTGTTCTGCACAAACCAGGAAGTATCTATTTGATCTGATTGGATGCTCTGTAAAGCTCCGATATGAGATTAGATTCAGTCAGTATAGTACTTCTTTAGTTGAATACATTCAGTGTAACATGCACATGTAACATTCCTACTGAATTAAATTACTAATGAAGCATAGTGTTGAGTTTTATATAAATAAGATATCAGGCTCACAGGTGCACCTATATAGATCATTCTCTTACATATAGATTGTGTTGTATTGTATCTTTGATAGGACATGACTAAAAGAAATGTTCTTGTAAAATCAGAGACATCTAAAAGTAAAGCCCAACTCATATCTAAATGTATATACAAAAACTAGATTATGAATTCAGGTTTTCATAACAGGAGAGAAGCAATTCTGCACCATCTATTTTGTGTTCAGCTCACCAAACTTATTTGCAATTCTGTTCACAGCTAAGTAAGATCTTAAAGGCGAAAGAGATCAGCTTAAAAATGGAACAATAATAAATTAGATTATCAAATTGCTGATATACAATAGAACACCATACTGCATGAATATATAAAAACATTACACTGAACTACAGTTCAGCTAACTAGACAGAGCAACTAAATTCTAAGAATTCTCTCTATGCTAAACAGTTTGCAAAAAAAGAAAAGGATCATGCTTACCAGTGACAGCTATCCACTTCTTTCCATGTTCTTGAAAAATATATCTATAGAGATAAAAATTATGATCTGAAATGATAGCATTTTATTAAAAGTACTGTAAATAAAACTACTGCAAAATATCATTTATTTCCCTTCTTTTAAAAAATATAATTCTTGAAATGATTAAGAGAGAGAAAAAAACACAACTCAGCCTTCCTGCTCACTGAAATAAATTACTCATGCTGACTCACCAACCACAACTTCCTCTCCCTACATTCTATTCATACTTTAGGGTTTGAATAATCAACTTCTCAGGATCTCTGGATCTCAAATTCTTCCACGAAGGAGGCATTTTAATCCATACCGTGGGAGAGAAATATTTTCCATCACTGTTCAAATAAAGACATCCTGCTCTCTTCCTTCTCTCTCACTGAAACCCTACATCTGAAGTGATTGCTTCCCATTTTTTTTCTGGTTCCCAGGGAACAGGTACCGCAGGAAACGTTCAGTATTTTGTGAATGTGCTTCAAATATTTACATGCAGCAGATAGCTTATGCTTTTTTGATTTATATAAAGAAGAGAGTTTAAACGGGAAAATTCATATTATTGTAATTTCATAATAACAAAGAAATACATAGGCAAGGCATTTACTGGATAAAAACATCTAAATTAATAATACTGTCTGCTATATTTTTAAAAACAAGTTTTCCTAACTGCAAAAATGTTATTGAAAATGTATCAGCAATAGCTAGTGAAAACATGATCATTAGAACCAAGAACTAAATAAAAGTTTTTATTTGTGGTAGTATCTTTTATTTGAAACGGTGTATAGCTCAATTTCTATCAAGCGTAAAAAATCAGAAATCCAGGTAGTTTAAATGAATATAGGCTTATATGTAAGTGCAAAGGAACTCAAGGCTGATGATATGTTTGACCCCTGGTCATCTCCTATGATTCCATTTTAACAATAGCATTTAGATTTAAATATCATCCAACAGTGCTTTACAGCACTCTCGGGGTGATTTACATTGTCAGCATATTGCCCCCAACCATCTGGATCCTCATTTTACCCACCTTGGAAGGATGGAAGGCTGAATCAACCTTAAGCCAGTCAGGCTCGAACTCCTGGCTGTGGGTAAAGTTTGCCTGCAATACTGCATTCTAACCACCGTATCAAAGAAGCAGAATTGAGGTTATTTATCAACAACAGACTGGGCAGGTGCAGAATTTACTTGACAATCAGCTTGCACAGTATGTTGGAATGAGTTCTGTTTAATTAGTTATCAGTATGTATGTATGTATGTATGTATGCATGCATGTATGTATGTACGTACGTATGTATGCATGCACCGTATTTTTCGGAGTATAAGACGCACCTTTTGCCCTCAAAAAAGAGGCTAAGAATCTGGGTGTATCTTATACATCGAATACAGCAGTTTTTTGCCTCCAGAAGCCCCAAAATGACCGTGCATAACTTGTAGGAGGCTATCAGAGAGCTCCTGGGGACTGGAGAGGGCAGAAATGAGCAAAAAATGGCTGGTTTTGTTCTTTTTTGCCTCCCAACCCCCAGGAGCACTCTGCAAGCCCCCCAGAAGCTATTCATGCCTCTCTTTTTTTGGAAAAAAAGGGGCCCATTTTCACGAAAAACAGGCCGTTTTTGGGAGATTTGTAGAATGCAAAAACTTTTTTTTCCCTTTTAGAAAGCTCTTTAGTTAGAGTGATTGATGAGAATTAGATTGATCAAGTGCTGTGCCAACAGAAACAAAGTCTTAGGTGCTGCAGATTGTCAGCGATTTCCTTCTCCAGCACATGGATAAATACACTTGGAAACATCTACCTACCTACTATCTCTCTCTCTCTCCCTACCTACCTACCTACTGTATTTCTCTCTCTCTCTCCCTCTACCTACCTACCTACCTACTCTCTCTCTCCCTACCTACCTACTGTATTTCTCTCTCTATCCCTCTATCTACCTACTTACCTACTCTCTCTCTCCCTACCTACCTACTGTATTTCTCTCTCTATCCCTCTATCTACCTACTTACCTACTCTCTCTCTCCCTACCTACCTACTGTATTTCTCTCT